AAAGGTTTCTTCTAACCAGCTGGATGTGAATTGAGACTCGTCACGTTAACTTGTCTGCCAGCGGATCCAAAGAGGTAGTAACTGCTGGAAAAAGAGACATAATGAATACCAAGGAGGTAAATTTTTTTCCAATGGCACAGCTGGATCCAAAAGAGGGCATGTGTCTTTGGCATTTGTGCCCTATCAGTATCCTGCCCCTGCCAGCCTTAAGACTCTTAGAAAGTATGAGCTGTATGGGAAACCTGGGTAAGGGAATTTCCAATTTGGAAAAAATTAAACTCTGCCTGTGTCTGCTGCTCTTCTGGGCAATCCTAGTCAAGAGACGCCAGCAAGTGCTCTGGGAGTGAGGAAGAAAGAGTTCATATCCAAATTCCATGACCTCCCTGCTAATGCTGAAAGAGACAGTACTGCAATACTCCTCAGAAGAAAAACTCCAGAGCCCGTAAGCAGCGTGACTCTGGCTATTGGCAATATTCATACTCGACACCAAAGTTTCAGGTACCTGCTCACAAAGGAATCGTGGGAAATTACTGCACCTGAGGAAACCACAACCTCGCTGTTCACCCTGCCCTGGCTCGGCCCCACTAACTTCACTCAGCTGTTGCTTGCGAAAGCTGCTGTGAGAAGCAGCAGGAATGTTACACATAGCTGGCTTTGGATACTGGGAGCCTGTCTGAAATTTAGAAACAATCCACAGCTGGAAATGATGGCCAGCGATGGGATTTCCTGACCTACTCTCTCCATAACCAGTGCTGAAACAGCATTAGCTGATAGATTCCCGCCAGCCCTTGCACAGCAGTGAGAGATTAATGCTATATATATTGGGTTATTGCTGTTGTTTTTACTATTATTATGTTATATATGCTATTTTTATACTATTGCCATAAAATCTCATGCCATAGCTGAGCTGATTTAACGAAGATATGGCTCTGCCCTACACCACATTAACTGCCACTGCCAGCAAGCTTACAGTGCTTTTTCTGCAATGGTACTGAAAATACCCCTCTGCACTGAACAGCAGCTAACAAACGGTAAGCAAAGTGCCTATTGCTGATAAGCATTTTCAGCAAAACATCACAAGCCAGGAGGCAATTCCAATAGATGCAAAATGGTGTAGAAATTAGTAGCAATAGCTTTTTATTCTTCTTCCAGACTCAGCACACAGCACTACTCTACATTCTTCTGTAGGAAAATGGTATCACCTCTGTTAAGTGGATTTTTCAGACTCTGGAATAGGATGCTTTCCTGAAGCTGAATTAAGATTATGGGACAATAAACTTTAAGATTTAAAAAAAAAATTTAAAAAATCTACTTTACACAGAAGAAAGGACCAAGATTTCTTTGTCAACATAGTAAAGAAAAAATCTAAGCAGACAGGTGAGGTGTCTTTCCCTTTCTCTTCTTTCTTTTTTAAAGAGAACATGATTAAATCTTTCTGTATTTCAAAAGGAACATTTTTCTTAGTGGACACATTTTGAACTTCACTGCAGTGCAGTACTTCCATGCACCTGTAAAACAACCCGCTCTCACAGAGTGAGAGCTTGAAACTTTGCACAGAAGTTGTATCCATCGATCTTCACCAATCGCTCAAAACCACACACAGCCTCAGCCCAGCCCTGAAAGGACTTTGTCATTTTAGCTGAATGTTTTTTTTAAATAAACAATGTGAGTTGTAACTGGCTTCTAAAATCTCATCTCAAACAGTTTAACCCCACCAAATTTAGGAGTTGGAAAATAAGGTTCATAACAAAAGTGTTGTAATGCCCAATAAGAGGTACAATAACTGTCATAACCGTAAGGCAGTAAATGTAACATAAAGGAAAAGAATATGCACAGTAAGCTACTGGAGACAAACGCCACAGCTGTATCCTAAGTCTTCAGGAATTTCACCACTTAAAAAAATTGATATTTTATAGTTACATGACCATTTTCCCAGAAAAGTCCCCCTGTATTTAAAAAGGGTGAAGGGTTCCTTTGAGTGCAGAAGGACAGTGACACCTTGGTGAAGACAGCCCCTTCAAAGGGCAGTAGTGGTGAGAGAGTTAAAAGCACTACAGGGAGCACAGGCAGGAATGAGAAGTCAGCCCATGCCACATATTGTGCCTCTCAAGAGAAGGACTGTCTGCCAGAGCTATGGAAAGAAAACGCTGGGCTTTATCCGTGGAGACGGGGAGGACTGGCAGCGGCACAACAGGAAAATCAGACAGTGGAATAGGTGGAGTCTCCTAAATATCAGTTGGCGAATGCTTTTTCACCTTGCAAAGATGCGGCAGAGCCTTGCCACGTATCACAGAATTATAGAATACCAGGTTGGAAGGGACCTCAAGGATCATCTGGTCCAACCTTTTTTGGCAAAAGCACGGTCTAGACAAGATGGCCCAGCACCCTGTCCAGCTGAATCTTAAAAGTGTCCAGTGTTGGGGAATCCACCACTTCCCTGGGGAGATTATTCCTATGGCTGTTTGTCCTCTAGATAGCGACTCTATCCACCACGTCTCATGAAATCTCAGTATCCAAAAAGGAAAGAGGGGCTAGCTGCACTCAGACCCTTCAGGGAGCGCTACCGTCATCATCCCTGAGCTAGGCTACCCCATTTGTTTTCAAACACAAGATGTAGCATTTTGTCTCAATAACTCTGTTGAAAAAAACCAGCACTAAACTTTTGCGCTGTCAGGTCTCATTGTAACCAATCCATACAAAGAAACAAAACCGAACTGAATCTCCTAGAAATGTCCCTAGTGGGGACACAGGGAAAAAATACAGGGTACTCACAGCATCTTGAAAGGACTCCAGAGACGGGTTATGAAAGCCCACCACGCCATCATCATTCTCAGAGTCACCTTGCAGCAAAAGGATCAGGCAACCCCATGAAGAGACCATTCTCTTCCACTTTAGCATTATTCAGTAAAAGGCAGTTTCTGCTGAAAGTTTCCCACAGCAAGAAGCTCTTTTGATTCCAAAATTCCTCCACTAAGGGAAATCTTAGGAGCCGTCATTTTTATTCTGGCTTTACATTCTGGATTTTTGCCTGGGCAATGTTCAACCAGGAACAAAATCTATTTAAAGTACATGCATAGTACATATTATGCATAGATGTCAAGGGATTGGAGTAGGTTATGAAACATGGAGGCTATGATATTTTACAAGAAAATCATTGTTCAAAGAGCTTAGGGAAAATGCAACACTGTAATTGAGCCTATGAGGTTGTAATCCAGTTTCCCAACTGGACAAATGGTGAGGCCAACAATATATTAGTTTGTCCTAAAGCAAAAGCTGACTGAGAGGAAGTAAAATAGCTCAACACAACCCTGTGAATTGTTTTTTCAAAACTGTTACTAAAATAATTATCAGGAAAAAACCCAAGCCCTATCAAACCAATCACAAGAACAGTGGAACAGCAGGAATAATAGCAGACTATAACCTGATCCTGTTTGCAAGACCTGAGGAAGAAAGAAGCCTATGTATCCTTGATGTGTGTGGGTTTTTTCTGTTTTTTTTTTAAAGATATCCTAGCTTTTATTAGCAGAAGACACACTGAGTAGTGAGATAACCCTACAACAATGTCATCTGCTTCCAGAAACTGCTCCTTCTAGGCAGCATTCAGCACAGATGTTTCAAGTCTGCTATAGACCCAGGCTCGAGGTGAAATACCAAGGGAAACAGCACATCATCTTCAGCTTGCTCCCTCACAGTGTTGGCCAAGAAGAACAACGAAGGCAACTGGTGTTCCAGTTAATCCATGTGTGTAAAATACTCAACGTGTAAGCACAGAAGAAAAAAACCCACACCACAACAACCTTTTAAAAGAGCATGCATCAAGCTTTGTTTCTTTTCCAGTGCAAAGGAATGGAAACCCTCTCACTGACTTCAACGGGAGCTGGGCCAGACCCTGAAAGTCTTCACATAAAACTTCCATTAGGGCAAAGTTGCATATTGGCATAGGGCATTTCTATTTTATCCCCTGCTTTTTTCCTCTGGATAAATTGCACACTTGCAGCACATAATGTCTGAAAATGAAGTTTATAATACAAAGGCAACTTTCCGAGGCTTGCAACTGTATTAAACTGAACACTAAGAGAATTAACGTATAAGAAATTATTATATTTTCTTTTATTATGTAATGAGTTAATTTAAGAGGTTTATACTAACCAAAATCTTACCATAAACCATAGCAAATAATGGCAAAATGTCATTGGTTCAATGGACCAAGGTAATCCCATACTTTGCAACAGTTGTACTACTGTTTTTAATACTACTCTTACAGCTTACAAAGCAAAGCAAAGCTCCAGCAGAGAGACAAACAACTGTGAAAAGCAGGAAGAAACAGACAGAATGTTGTTACGATTGTACAGCTCCTATTTTGCACAATTATTTTCACATTACTCACAAGCAGACAGCTTTTGCAGCCATCGGTTTGCAGAAAGCTCAATTCAGTGTTTGTATTTCAACACCTTTATCTCTAAATGAACTCATAGTAATGAAAACATCCAAGTATTTCAATCTAAATGTAAAGAGACTAAACCTCAAAATATTCACCTAACTCCATGCGGGAGAAATTAAAAGCACTTTTGAGGTCTTGGATTTAGTGATGTGCCTTGGCTACAACCCAAACTTGCACCAGGACATGAGCAAAGAACAGCCTTGTATCTTGGTTTCAAGGAGGAGCTCAAACTAGAGGCATCCTTTGTATTTCAGCACCATTTGGTACCCTACCGGTTTCCAAACCAGTCTCCCTCTACCTCTTAATACCTCAACCAAACAGTCTTTCTTTTTCATTAGTGCACCCCAAATAACAGTTTTGTGTCTTCTACAGAAACACAAGGGGTGTAATTTACACAGATCAAAGCCACAAAAGAAAAAAACTCAGTACAGAGCCTGGAAGAAATTCAGGCCCAGCATAACCAGAAATAACTTCCAAATGTCTTAGCAGTGTGGACCAGGCCACCCCCTGTCGCTACATCTTGCAATTAAGTTGGCTTAAAGTTAAAAGACTTGCTCACAGCAAGATTGGCCTTTCTTACCTTTTGCCACATTTTGATGAAGAAGAGCTCCCCAGAAAAATTGAAGAAAACATTGGTATCGTAGGCATCATCCCCAATGTTAGAGATGGAAATGTTAAGTGAGATGTTCCTCACCGCTCCCAGGGCCAGGTAGGCAGTTCTGTCATCAACACTGTAGGCAGAAACAGTTACACCGGTTTAACTCTGGGCAAGTTTCATACTCTGGTCCTTCTTTCTGTCTGCTACGCAAGTGTCACAACTCAACTGCTTAAAAGCTCGGCAGTCAGTAATTCAGGAATGTGCTCTATGGCCAATGGATGGGGGGGGGGGGCATACTGGGAATGAGCAGCTCCCCAGTCCTGGTTCTGACACTGGGTTTTGTGACTGTAAGGAAACCCCATGATCCTTGTGTGGAACTATTTCATGTGACTTATCGCTAGTGTGGTTTTAGTGAGAATAAAACAGTTGAAGACTGTAAAGTAATTGAACAGGAGAAATGTACCAAGTGCAAGATATTAAGCCTGCATTCAAATACACAAGCTATTTCAGTTTGTCTCTCAATAATTCAAAGTTATTCTAACATTCTAGTAACTTTCTGAAAAATCTTAGAGCTATGCTATGGATAGAAAAAATGGAAAAGAGGCTCAAATAAAATCCAGAAAGTGGGGTAAGTGGAAAAATGTATGAAAATTACAACGAATGTTCACTGAATGTGACTAATCTTTCTTCGGGTGTTTATGCTGGACCTAATATGATGGGGTCATCTTCTCAAAGTGGAATACCAAGGGAATGGTTGAATTAAAATAACAACTATATATCATGAATCTATACACTATTGTAATATGACATCACAGACTATGAACACAGACATGCACACACAAAGGCAAATATAAATATTCATACACACACATTTATTATTTGATTTTTAACCATACTAGGCTGTCCAGAAGATGTGCTAACAAGTAGGAATAAAGGCTAAAGATAAATCACAAGAAAATACAATATCAACGCACAGATCTGCAGATCTAGGAACTAAAACTACAATAAAAGGTAATATGAAATACACCAAGTGTAAATGTAAAAATAAGCAAATATAGCCAAAATATCAAATTTGCTACAGTTATCATAATGGAATCTAAGACCATTCATACATGCCAGTGAAACAGAGACAGTGACACAGAGAAAACACTAAGTAGTTGGTCAGAAAAGGGCTGAGACCTCCAGCCACACAGCAGGTAGATTCTCTTAATTATTTCCTCTAGGGGACAGCCAGCTGTCCAGGTTTTGGCTGGGATAGAGTTAATTTTCTTCTTAGTAGCTGGTGCAGTGTGTTTTGGATTTAGTGTGAGAATAATGTTGATAACACACTGATGTTTTAGTTGTTGCTAAGTAGAGCTTATCCTGTTAAGGATTTTTCAGTTTCCCATGCTCTGCCAGCAAGCAGATGTACAAGAAGCTGGGAGGAAGCATACCCAGGACAGCTGACCCGAACCAGCCAAAGGGATATCCCATAACATAGAACACCATGCTCAGTATATAAACGGGGGAAGTTGCCTGGGAGGGTTGGATTGCTGCTCGGGCATTGGTCAGCGGGTGGTGAGCAATTGCACTGTGCATCACTTGTCTTTTCTTGTTTTCAGGGTTTTTTTTTGGGGGGGGGGGGGAAGGTGTTGGGTTTTTTGTTTTTTTTTTTATTACATTCTTTTTCATTACTATTATTATCATTATATTTTATTATTATTATTTTTAGTATTACATTTTAGTTTACTTTAGTTATTAAATCATTCTTATCTCAACCCATGAGTTTTACTTTTTTTTTCCCCAATTCTCCTCCCCATCCCACTGAGGGGGGCAAGGTGAGTGAGCAGCTGCATGGTGCCTAGTTGCTAGTTGGGCTTAAACCACAACACCAGCCCAAAAGTAAGAAGGAACCACCTCTGAGGACACGTACTGTTGCGCCACCCACCCTGCCAGACGCGGCTGCACAACACATATGCACACAGCAGCATGCAATGGCATGGAGAAATCCGTGGCCAACCAAGCCACCCTTCATTTACCCAATTTCCATGAAGGAATGGCTGTGCGAGGGACATACACGTTGGCACACACTGCTCCTCTACATATCAACAACTCTCTGAAAATCGCTGGGGTGCAGGATGTGAGCTGTGTTTAGAGGCAGCCTGTCCCTCCATTGCTGCCAGCCCTCCTCTGCCAGCCTTGCTCATGGTACCGCAGCCAGAGCACCTGCATAAAAGTGAGGTTTCTGAGAGCACGGTGCTTATTAACCCTTCAGCATCTTCTGCCAACCACAGCCATACCAGACCTCCAAAGGCAGAGGGAGGCTCCGTCTCCCTGCGTTTGCCAAGAAGTTTCTAGACCTGGGTTTCTCAAGGTACGTACCGAAGCAGCCAGGGGCTCTGGTGAGTGAGAAGTTAGGAGGAAAATGGTCTAGACTCAGGCTTTAAAGCTGATGGCTGTGGACTGTGAGTGTAACTCTTCCACGTAACGCAGACCATATTTATAACATATTTGTTTCCTGTACTTACTTCATTTATGATGATCTTCATTTATTAAGCCCAAAATTACAGCTTACAGTTCAATGACAGCTTCTTATGAGGCAGATATAAGTCTCCAGGAAATGAGCCTGCTTTCTCACTCTTACCATCAACTGCAGACACCAACCAATCCTACCGATAATTGGACACTTCACTTTCTAAACGTTGTAGTTTACTCTCATGGTCAACTATCAGTGCAAATAAACATTTGCAAAAGTGTATGCAGCACAGGATCAACTGCAAAACTAGTTTGAGAGGTGCAAATCATTTGAGCTGTTGCTCCTTATATACCAAATTAACAGCACAACTATATGAGAGTACTTGGAAGCATTTAACCTTTTGGCCCCAACTTCAATGCTTACTGTTGAAAAGCAGGCAAATTACGAAAATGTGAAACAATCTTCTGGGATTTTCTAATGATCAAAAGTACATATCTGGAAACATATTAATAAAACAACCATTTATTACTGTGAATTATTTCTCATTAACTTTATAATCTCACTTCTTGCAATCACTTCAAAACTTAATCAGCATCCATCAAACCCATTAGCAAAAGCTGGAGGTATCTCTTCAGTAAGCAAAGGAACATTACAAGACATTTATTTTATGCAGCATTGATACTAAATGCAATGCACACTACACAATCCTCTCTGAATTGGTAGTAGCAGCACTTTTAGATGTAACACAAAGTCAAGACAATCGAGAATACTCTCCTTCCTACTGAATAATAAAAAATACTCAGAATGAAATCCTATTTAAAACTAAACCCACAAAAAATAACGTCAAAATAAACACCATTGGGTTGTGTTACTCCTTTCTAAAGCTATCACTCCTCTGTTAAAAGTGCATCATACCAAAATGATGTTTATAACATTTTCTTCAGCAGAGAAAGAAAACCCGCTTTCTAAAAGCACATTGTAGCTGCTCCTACACAAAGTTCACACGGTAATAAACTCTGAAAAACCTCACCGATTTTAGGCTGGCAGAGGAATTCTGTTCTTCCTCTGAAAGGCTATATGAGATTGTGCTGTAAGTCCCATTTTAAGAGAGCAGCTTTCTGAGTCATTAAATCTGTGTACATCTGGAATGAATCAGGTTCACTTGCAGTGAGAAGAGGATTAGGAATCTCCCCGTTCACAAGGGGAGCTCCCAGGCCCTGTTTGCTTGCTTGAGAGAGTAACGTCATGGGGTGTGGACAGCCTGCTGTGGTGCTGCAGCAGCTCTGCTGCCAACGTGGTGCCATCCTCCTCCAGCGCCTGCCGCACATGAAGCGGCCTAGCTGCCAAGTCAAAATATGTCAACTAAAGAACTGTTGTCACCTGCCAGAAGCAAGAAAACAAACTAAAGCCACCCCTTCATCTTGACATGGTATGTCAAACAATTTAAGAAATGTAATCAAGCAATGGCTTTCAGTTTATGTTTTGTTGGATGAGAACTATAAAGCTGCCAAATCCTCACCACAGTCCTTGTAACCTTGCTTACATCAAGGAAGAGAGGCTAAAAATAAAAACAGACTCAAAAAAGGAAAAAAAAAAAAGAAAGAAAAGAAGGGGAAAAAATATCAAGATATAACCACTTAATTGGACCAAACACCACCATCTCATTACCTCAGGTACTACACAAAAACAATGAACTGAGTAAAAGTTCTAGGTAGACTGTTGACATGACATATATATACATTATATATAGGCAACCACATTTGTACACACATACGTACAGGCACATGAAGGACGTCACAAGCTATCAATGTTTGCATGGAAAGGGAAAGAAGTTTGACATTTGAAAGTACTAAATACCTGCGGCTTTCATTCACATGACCTGGACTTGCAGGTAACAAGTAATTCTGAAAATCAGGCTCAAAATTTCTGCCACAGTTTTGAATTCACTGGTCATGGTACTACACATCAAATGTAAATAGAAATATTTAACATTTTCCCCTTAAGTGATTAAGAAAAGTAAACTAAATTCCAGGATGAAACAAGTATAATGTTTTTTGCATGTTTTAATGTTCTTTGTTAATGTCGGTGGCACATCATTGCACTATGGTCAGTGAAGGAAGAAAGACCAGCTGGGAAAGGCAAACTGAAAAGATCTGCTATTTTCATTTCCCCACCCCCCAAGATGCTGGTGTTTTTATTAACGTGGGTCAGGGGAGACATAATTTGCATTCCAAAAGGTATGCAGGGACATATTTCTCTATTTCCTGTGCTAGAGAGAATTTTTTAAAAAATTGAAAAAGCATTTAGCACTTCCTCTCAGCCTGTGGAGATCATACATAGGGCAAGGAATGTGACAGGATCGCACCTACCCTGTTGGTCTGGGTCACCAACTTTCCCTTTCATATTAGGAGCCTTTCTTTCCTTACAGCAAATCAGCACCTACCTGGATAAATCACCACTACTGCTCGATGGAGAGTGGAAGTTACAGCTGGGGTCAGTTAGACTGCAAGTGGGCAAAAATGCTTCAAATAACTGAAGTCTAATCTGTCCTCCATCTCCCTCAGATGAAATCAGAGTCCCACCTTTTGCTTTTAAATCAGTAAAAGGTACAAGTGACTCAGCAACACTGGTCCTGTGACAGATCCAAACAGATTTCTACCTTCACCAACCAGTGTTGC